AAGAGGAGGCCAGTAGTGCAATATGTCAAGGATATTTATTCCAGAATTTAGGCAAGTGAGCATAACAATAGTAATAGGGTAAATACTGACCAAATCAAAATCTCCACCGGGACCCCTCGTGGTGCCGGCGGTGTGGTGTCAACGCGCTGTAGCTCTACCCTGACACGTGCCAAAGTGCCTGCAGCTATAGAAGAAGTCAGCTGGAGGCTTTGGTTTAGGGTCTTATCACACAGGCATTTCATCAATCTGTTTTTCCATCTCTATAACCGGATTCAAAAACAGGAAGATAAAGAAAGGGACCGTTGAGGTGCAAATGACATCAGGGGAAAAGAACCACCAATTATGGGCGGAGGATACATGACCATCTGAGATCTCGCTCACATTGTCACCTTCGACTTATCTTTATCTGATATAGTGCATCTTTTTCACGATACTAGCCACATATTTTAGTGGCACATATATTTGCACAGTGTCACTTTATTGTATGTATTTATTTATATATGAATTTATTTATTTATTTATCATCTTTTTGAATTTCTACTAGCGCTGCACCCCCCCCCCTTTTTATATTTCTGTTCATCTGAAGGTCTTATATGGTGCCTTTGGTGCATAGCCGCTGTTATAATATATTATCTTAGCGCTCACTTATTTATATATTTTTAAACTGAAAAGATTGTTATTTTTAAATTGAAAATTGAATTATTAAATTATTAAATTATTTTTAAATTGAAAAGATTACAAGGCGGGCGTTCACATTTACTTTAAATATTATGGAATATACTATTATGTAATGTTATGTCTGTAATTGAAGCTTTTTTTAAAAAAAAAAAACTATATAACTTTGAAATGCTAAACTGTCTGCAATGCTGCTTATTACTGACATTCCTATTAAATAATTGCCTGCAGTGCACAGGTACAAAATGATCTCATGGGTGCCACCTCCATTTCAGTGTCTATACGGCTTCTTGCAAAAGTGTGAAAGATTTAAATAATAATCTGTATGACTGGTAATGGTCAACTGCTAAAAACTTGGTTATAGGGAAAGTAATATTTACTGTGTTTCAGCCTGTTCTGCAACACCAAGAATGCCTCACACATAACAGATTCACTTTAAAGCCCAACTTCAGCTAAATTTAATTATTGTTAATTTGGAGCTGAGTAAAGGTGGGTTAGAACCTCCTATTGCTATCAGTATCTCCATTGGGGTACCGTATTTTCCGGCGTATAAGGCGACTGGGTGTATAAGACGACCCCCTAATTTTCCAGTTAAAACATAGGTTTTGGGCTATACTCGCCGTATAAGACTACCCCCCTTCCGAGGCAACACCATTTAAAAACATCAGATTTTTTAATTGAAATGGTTATTATTATTATTATTATACAGTATTTATAAAGCGCCGATAGTTCGCTCAGCGCTGTACATTACAAAGGGGGACAGAACATGTGACAGAACAATAACAATACAATGCAAAACATGAGGGGATCGAGGGCCCTGATCCTTGGAGCTTACAATCTAGGAGATGACTTACCGGTACTTAAAATCCTTAAAAATCCTCATGTTCATCCTCTGACATCATAAGTTCATGAATGACATCTATGAATACAAAGCCTGCTCGGATTGGCTGAGGTTGTGACATCATCAGCCCACCTGCCAATCCGAGCAGGCTTTGTATTCATTAGTAGAATACATCACTCGCCGTGATTGGCCCAGTGTATACTGTATGTAGCCGCAGCTACCGTACATACACCCATCCAGCGGGCTGATTACAGTAGGGACGTACCGGTACGTTTTGAAACCGCTTGGCTCAGTATACTGTATATACCGCACATCCAGCGGGCTGACAGATTAATCTCTCATAGGGACATTTGTTTTTTTGGCTCAGCGCCAGCTTGGCTCAGCGCGGTATACTGTATGTACATTACTGCACATCCGGCCAGCTTGGCTCAGCGTGGTATACTGTATGTACATTACAGCACATCCGGCCAGCTTGGCTCAGCGCGGTATACTGTATGTACATTACTGCGCATCCAGCCAGCTTGACCCAAACAAACTGAAGGTTCACATTTTATACCCCGCGTATAAGACAACCCCCAATTCTTGGGGTATATTTTTACATATAAAAAGTCTTATATGCCAGAAAATACTGTAATTTTCCCTCACTTGGTGACCTCACAGGAATTAGATTGAGTCTCTTCAGGGAGACAGAATGCAATTAAAAAAAAAAAAATCACAATTCTAAAATAAAATTTTATAGCTAGTACTATTATTTTTGGCTTCAGTAAGAATTTGGTAAAAATGGTCAATCCTCATATATTGTACTGTGTTACTGAGAAAAATGTGAATTTATCTACATTACTGTTTTGTCCTGTAAACAACAATTAGGAAATCCAGTACTAAAGAGCCATGCTTATTTATCCAGAGAATGATGGCACAACCTAAAGCTGCTAATGAAATTTTTATCCTATTGATGAACAGCATGCCACCCTCACTTTCTTGCTTTTTAATTTTCACAGTTTTTAGTCTACAGGGAGACATTTGTTCTGAGCAGGAAGATTTCTCCAGGCAGGGAAAATTATTTTATCTTGAAGACTCCCTGGTGATCAAGCTGACTTGGAACTTCTGCTAATCAGGCTGTCTGGCAGGGTGACTTGAATAATACTTCCCATGATGCTTTGTGCGTTTGTCTTAATTCTTTCCTTTTGAACTCACCATGACTTGTAAGTGTCTTTTCTTCCCCTTTGTGTGTCTGAAGTTATCCCTCTATTAGTTTTAATTGGAAAGGTACCTTTCATTCTTCCCGAGTAGTCATTCACTGGCTTCAGAACTCTCAAGACTTAAATATCTGAGGTAGAAGTCAAGAGTTCTTTTCTTTTTTTTTTTTTGGCTTTTTTGCCATCCTGTTTCCATCCCCTTTACCACAACCCTCCCCTTTCCAGTTGTCCTGATTACTTTTGAACTCAAGGCCACTGAGAAGTTTCCCATCTGTACTGATAAGACAATAATAATGCCCTTCACATATTGTCCTTTATTCTGAACTTTAACAAAGAGTGAAGTGAAATAGTGGAAGCTTTACTTTTTTTCATTAAAAAAAAGGTGAAATTTAACTAATATAGAGGAAAGAAAATACACATTAAATCATCAATATGTCCCTCTAAACCTCCAAAGTCTTTTTGAATCACAAAGACATATCTGCTCAAATGCATTAGCTATAAAAATTGCTTTGTTCATATTTACATTCCAAACCTAGTCTATCATCCCGAAGAAAAAGAAAATGCTCAACACTAAACATAGCAAACATAATAATGAACTGAAATCCATAAAAATATTTGATTTTAGGCAAACAATGCAGCACTATACATAAGTAATTTAAAAAAATGTTCCTTAGAACTTTTTGAAAAATCAAAGAAGAAGTCAAAATTGTATATGTTTTTTGTGATTTGGTGTGAAATTGGAGATTAAGTGCAACAAACACCTAAACAATGGCAAATGTCCAGTTTAGAAGTAAAGGTTTGCAGAACCTGACCAGATGAGAGCATAGAATCAGACAAAGGGCAAAAGGGCTTCTCGTGAAAAAAGTGAATAGAATATATCTAAATCTAACAGAGGAGATAATGATCTACCTTGAAAGAGATAAGATATAAGAAAAAGAGGTCAGTAAGCAGAAAGGAGGAGACGAAATTGTTCAGACATGATGAGTGAGACCCTAAAAGCATAAGTTCTATCATTGTTAAGCCCTGATTCATGTTCAATATTTTTACTCACCCCTAAAAATGAACATGTTGTACTAAAAGGAGAAAAAAATCTTCTGTTATATACCACATAATATTTTCTATGAAGTTGGTGACACTGTTGCCCTGGAAGCTAAATGAGGTCCAAAGAATCCAGATTTTTCTAAAGCAAAAAATTGTTACAAAAGTTCTTTGTCTACATCTGGGGAAGAAATGTATAATATGATATGACTGATAAAATATAAAAAAGAAACCAAAATCTTGGAACATGTAGCCAAAAAGACTCTTTAAAAACATAATATTAGAACTTCATTTACTATGTCTAAATAATAGGTAGCAATAACTCCAAGGATTATGCACACTAAATTAATGTATGTTTCATTTAAAAAACGGATACTTTTTGAATGCTGAACAAATCTTACTGCTCAATGCCCATGCAGAGTAATTGAAGCTGCATACAGTACATATGTAAGAAAAGCCTGATGTTGTAAGCACAGCCCAACAATGGTGCCCCCCAGCCCCTCCATTGCTTAACTTACAAGATATTAAAAAACAATAAGTGCTGAAGTTGAAATAAAAGTTAAAGTTGTATTTGGGAGAAAAAGGTAGACGAGCCCCACAGAAGTTTTTAATGCATCTGCCTGGCCAGGAAAGATAGGACTTATGGTGTAGGACAAAGGCAGCAGCAGTTCGATAAATATACATATGTGGAGAGGGAGGGTGGGATTGGTTGGTTCAGGACAAATGAGCAAAAAGGATACGTGCGCTTTGTTTTACGTTGCACCTATCCTTTATGGACACAGTGTCTAGGGGATATGCTATTGTTCACATGATATCGGGAGTCTCTGTCCAATGTAGAGTCACGCAGCAAGAGTGTGCAAGTATTGACATTTTGTAAGATAAAATGTTCAGCTTTTGTGTGCGTGAACTACCAATATTTAACTGAGCGTTATTTTTTGGTATGTGTATATGTCTGGTCAAAACGTATTTTTTGTTTAAATAATTTAGGAAACGATTGAAACCCCTGTGTGCAGGGCGGACTGACCATTTTTGAAACTCGGGCACTGCCCGAGGGCCCAGGGTCAGTAGAGCTTTCTTTTGGTGGTATGTACTCGCCGCTGGGTGTTTTATTTTTTTGCGCTGTAAACAAAAAAGAGCAAAACATTTGAAAAAAAAAAAAGTTTTGTTTGTTTCTATTATAAAATTTTGCAAAGAGGTAATTTTTCTCCTTCACTGATGTGTGTTGTTGAGGCAGCACTGATAGGCAGCACCAGGGGCGGACTGACCATTTGGAAACTTGGGCACTGCCCGAGGGCCCGGGGTCAGTAGGGGGCCCCATGAGATGCCTCTGGTACCTTTTTCATAGGTTTTTTTTGAGTTTGGGCAAGGACACAGGGGCCCCATGATCCCCTATTGCCCGGGGGCCCCATGAGTTGTCAGTCCGCCCCTGCCTGTGTGTTTTTTTAATGTGCTGTTGGGAAGACTTCCCTTCAATTTCCGTACTTAAATTGCAGCAAGAAATGAGAAAATATGTACAAACAAGGACAATTCCCTTCTTAGACAGTGTCATTGAGAAAGGTACCCATTTTGCAAGATTTCTCTTCACTGTCTGGTCTGGTGACAATTCATTGTGGATTTGCTGTCACTTTTTGTTCTGGTGACAATGGTCATCAGGAAAAATAAAGAGGGTTATTCTACATAATGGGGACATAGCTAGCAATAAAAACTTGACAGGTGTTTTAATCATTCCCTGCTCTATTTAAAAATGTAAAAAAAGCTACACATACACTTTAAAACATATCCCATCCTAGCTTAGTTCTTAACCTACTCTTTAACCACTTCCAGTCCGGACACTTTCCCCCCTTCCAGTCCGGACACTTTCCCCCCTTCCAGTCCGGACACTTTCCCCTTTCCCCACTTTCAGTCCGGACACTTTCCCCCCTTCCAGTCCGGACACTTTCCCCCACTTCCAGTCCGGACACTTTCCCCCACTTCCAGTCCGGACACTTTCCCCCACTTCCAGTCCGGACACTTTTACCCCCTTCCTGACCAGGGCAATTTTCAGCTTTCAGCGCTATCACACTTTGAATGACAATTGCGCGGTCATGCAACACTGTACCCATATGAATTTTTTACCATTTTTTTTGAGACAGATAAAGCTTTATTTTGGTGGTATTTATTTACCGCTGGGATTTTTATTTTTTTTTTGCTGTATAAATGAAAAAGTCCAAAAATTTTGAAAAAAGTGTTTTTCTTATAAAAGTTTGCAAATAAATAATATTTCATCATAAATCTTGGCCAAAATGTATTCCGTTATCTTTTTAGTAAAAAAAACTACGCCAAATTAGTTTATAACCAAAAATTATAATTTTTTAAAAATTTGTTTACATTTTTATTTTATTTTTTTTTATTATTTATGTTTTTTTTTAAATTTTTTTACATACCGTCACCCTAGCAGTACAGTGTCACCATGGTGACACTGTACAACTTGTGGGGGTGATGAAGATTTTTTTTTTTTTTTTTTTTACAGTGATTGCCTTTACACCCATATAGGATGTAAAAGCAATCATTTCTCTTTCTCTCTGGCTGTATTCTTGCAGCCATTGAGAAATACTGTGTGAGCTGTGATTGGTCACAGCTTGTCACATGGTACAAGGCTGTTGTGAATAGCCTTGTACCATGTGACCACTGTGATTATTCACAGATTTCACACGTAGTAAGCAATGAGGTCACAAGTGACATCTTGCTTACTACTTTGCATGTGATCATTGATTGGCCAATCAGCGATCACATGATCGGGACCTCGTACAGAGGTCCCGTCCGATGATCGGTGTTTCACTGTGTCCGGAGGACACAGCAGGCACCGGATCGCGGTGCTGCGTGCTCCCAGGGAGCGCGCACAACCAGAAATAGCGGGTGCCGTTTATGAACGGCAACCCGCCCCTGGAGTGCCACTGCCCTGCCGTTTAAAAACAGTAGGCGGACGGCAAGTGGTTAAAAAAAGTAACATTTTTTTTTTCCTTTTTTAGCATTTTTTTTAGTTTTCAGATGAGAAACTTACATTCACAAATATGCTGTGATTGAACCAACATGAAGATCAAAACTTCATCAATAATCTTAGATTGTAAGCTCCGAGGAGCAGGGCCCTCCGTATCCTATTGTATTGAACTGTATTGTTGCTGTATTGTCTCCCTCTATATTGTAAAGTGCTGAGCAAACTGTTGGCGCCATAAATCCTGTATAATAATAATAAGCAACATGACATTTGTTACAGATCATCAAAAAGAATCAGCAAAATCAATATTTGTATAGCCAAAAAGGATAAATACCAGTTCCAGAGATCCTATAAGGTCCCCGTAGTACAACATAAAACTGTCTATGTATTTCTCCTCAACTAATGTCTATAACAGTGTAACAAAATTGAGAATATTGTAAGTGGTAAAACACTGGCCCCTCCCTGTCTCGTGTTAAGAAAAGGTGGGTTAATCCAAACTTGGATGGATAGTGAAACATTCAGGTGCTAGAAAGAAAGGGGGAAAGGGAGAAAGTGTCAGAAAGAAATGGGCAGAGGGGTCCAAGAATTGAATGGGGTGCAGAGATAAAGACAAAATGAGGAGAGCAGAGAAAAAAGATTATTATTATTATTATTTATACAGTATTTATAAAGCGCCAATAGTTCACTCAGCGCTGTACATTACAAAGGGGGACAGAACATGTGACAGAACAATACCAATACAATGCAAAACATGAGGGGATTGAGGGCCTTGCCTTCGAGCTTACAATCTAGAAGGGATGGATAGTGGTACAGGAGGAGATAGCTGTGGGGGATGGAGTGGTAGGAAGAGTGGAGGAGGTCAGCAAGTTAGCAGGGGGTGAGGTAGGCTTCCCTGAAGAGATGGGTTTTCAGGGTGCGCCTAAAGGAGAGGAGAGTAGGTGATAATCTGATGGGTTGGGGCAGGGAGTTCCAGAGGATGGGTGACACCCTGGAGAAGTCCTGGAGGCGGGCATGGGAGGAGGAGACCAGGGAACTAGAGAGAATTTTTGAGGAGCGGAGTGTGCGTGTTGGGCGGTACTTGGATATTAGGTCAGTGATGTAGTTCGGGATGAGGAAAAAATGTCCAGAATCCAGTGTGCATCAACCCTATCTAATTGCCTAAGAGGTCACAAGGAGGGTGTCAAAACTATAAGGGCCACAGTGGAACACCCAGGGTTTCCAAATTTTCAGAAATATACTTGTGCTCGTTTAGTATTGCTGGTAATTTTTCATTCACCATTGTGCCTCTAACCAGTTTTCTACTTCAGAAAAGTAATAGATATTTTCCATGCTTTAGATTGCTTGGTGGCCAAAAAGATGTGTTTTATCAAAGTTTGCCAGTATTTGGTTATATTTTATATATGGTTGCGTATTAAGTCTTCTCATGGATTTGGAGCAATTAGGAGGGTAGGCTAGCAGAGTTTTGAACAGGCAAGATGGATTATAATATCATCTAAAAATAACTTTATATTAATTTTCTAAGCCTAGAATTTTTTTTTTTACTTTTCTCTATAGTCTATCCAGTCCTTAAAGTAGCCCTTAACATTTAAATGTAGTAGCCCTCGATCCCCTCATGTTTTGCATTGTATTGTATTGTTATTGTTCTGTCCCCCATTGTAATGTACAGCGCTGAGCGAACTATTGGTGCTTTATAAATACTGTATAATAATAATAAAAATAATAATTTAAAGTGCTAAAAAGTAAAACCAGTCTGTATGTGCAGTAAAGCATGGTTGTTATACTCACTGTGGAACCTAAGGGGTTAATCCGCTGCATTGCTTAACCACTGCAAATCCGGACACTTTCACCCCCTTCTAGTGCAGGCCAATTTTCTGCCTTCAGCGCTGTCACACTTTGAATGACAATTGCACGATCATGCAACACTGTACCCAAATGACATTTTTAGCATTTTTTTGAGACAGATAAAACTTTCCATCGGGGATATTTATTCACCACTGACATTTATTTTTTTGCTATATAAATGAAAAAGACCAAAAATTTTGAAAAAAAACAAAAGTGTTTTTCTTATAAAATTTTGCAAAGAAATGATGTTTCTTCATAAATCTTGGCCAAAATTCAGCTATCTTTTTGGTAAAAAAAAACCCAAATCAGTTTATAAAAAAAATTATTTTTTAAAAAATGTTTTACATTTTTTTATTTTTTTAATATTATTATTTGTGTTTTTTGGGTTTTTTTTACATACAGTCACCCTAGCAGTACAGTGACACCATAGTGACACAACCTGTGGGGGGTGATAAAGATTTTTTTTTTTCTTACACTGATTGCCTTTACACCCATAATGGCTATAAAAGCAATCATTTCTCCACTCTGGCTTAATTCCTGCAGCCATTGAGAAATACTGTGTGAGCTGTCATTGGTCACAGCTTGTCACATGGTACAAGGCTGTTGTGAATAGCCTTGTACCATGTGACCTCTGTGATCATTCACAGAATTCACAAGTAGTAAGCAATGATGTCAGGAAGTAACATCTTGTTTACTACTGTTCATGTGATCACTGATTGGCCAATCACTGATCACATGAATTGGGACCTCATACAGTGGTCCCGTACATTGATCTGTGTTCCGCTGTGTCCGGTGGACACAGCGGGGACAGATCATGGTGTTGTACGCTCCCAGGGAGTGTGCACAGGTAATGGGTGCGGGGAAGATGTTTAAAAACATCCTCCCGAATTGGCAACGCTCCGTTTATTGGCATGGACTGGGCGGGAAGAGGTTAAAAAGGCTGTTTGATCCTGTCTTCTCTGATCCTCCCCTTCTTCCACAGTCCCCAGTCCATCTGTTGATAGTACAGAGCTCTAGAAATCACTCGGCACATGCTCATTTTAGTGTATATTGCTAGAGAGTTTTTTTTTCTTTGGGAGGGTGCATGTGATCAGTACAGAGCCAATCACCGCTCTCCAGTCAGAGGGTCAGGAGTCATGCAGCCTCCTAGGACAGTCAGAGCAGAATTAAAACTCCTCCTGCAAGCTTTAACCAGTGCTCAGCTTGACACTGATAGAAGACAACATGACTGCTATATATGTCTGATAAGAAAAGGTATTCAGCAGTTTATATTTACTAAAAAAAATTGCAATTCCATGTTGTGTGTACTGTGGGAGACCGGATACAGTGAATGCAGAGTCTTGGGTTTAGTAACACTTTACCCTTTTCTTAATCTAAGCCTAAATATAACCCTTAAAGTGGACATTCCATTAAAAGAGCACCGTCTTCTAAAATCTTACTTTCTGGATGCCAAAAGCCAAAGATAACAATCCAGTAATAAAAAAGGAGTCAAATGTACAGTGCCAAAAACCGTGTTGCTTATGGGCAGCTAAAGTTCTGCTAATACAGTAAGTCTCTCATGTGCCAGACAATATATTGTGCAAGACCACAAGGATTCTATAGGCTGTCTGATGATTAAAGACACTTTAACCATCATGTACTAATTGTGAGACTTAGTTTCAAATGGACTTTTCAATGGAGTTGCTCCAGTCAGCAAAGCCCATTTTAGAGTCCTTTTCCAACTTTTATTTATCCAAACATCAAATTAACACAGTTTTATGGCCAAATAGAGTTTGTTTAGCACAGCCCATTCTATTCTTCCTTAGAATATAGCTGAACTGGTTCCTTCAGTGAACAAGACTGGACCTGTGGTCTTCTCATACACTGCCACTTGTTTGGTTCAGATACAAATGTCTGTCCTTTCACGATCTCTGACTCTCTTGGAGACCAGTGTGACTTGGCAACCTGTCTGTGTCGGCCAGGCAGGTCTACATATGTGCTCCTAATGTACAGTATCAGGCTTCACTTCAGCACATATCAGCAAAAATGGATTGCAGAATATTCTCTTTTGTGAACACCCACCTGACTCCACTCAGGTTCAAATCTGTTCTATGACCCTTTCCTTGCTGAAACAGGCATTTATCCATCTTTACACAGTAGCAGACCATCCATCACATAAACCTCACCACTTCTGTTTTGATCTGTGAATCGGAATAACAACAACCCACTGTTCTCAACTTTAAAGTAGCCACATAATGACAGTACCCTCCACCCTCTGTGACTTGCAGATCTCAGATACACTTGCAACCCCTTTTTTTTTTGGAGGTTCATGGAGGTCACAAATTGCGCATTGGGAGATACAATTGTTTGGTCTGCTGTGGTATGTATTTAAATGTATCTAGCTTTGCTACAAACAATTTCAACGCTTAATGTGTTTTTCCGTCATAATGAATTGATTTGGTATTGTAAAGCTGACAATTTTTCTTTTTCTTTTTAGGGGACATGGTATAATACCAAATCCCCTGTTTTTGTTACTGTTGTCCCCATTTCTTGAGGGCTTAGATGCATAACTAGTCCGGGGCATAAGGGTGTAGTTTGGAATGCCCTGGGACACTCTAAATTTTGTGATTTTGATGATGTTTCAGTCTTTCATTATGGATCGATGAATTCATCTGGCTGGCGGATATTGATATCTTTGGTTGAACGGTTCCCCTCTATCTATGTCTGAATCAAATGCTCGTGTCATTTCATACGCCTTATATGAAGTCACTAATATCACCAACTGGTAAATGCTAATACTGCTTGTGACATTTCTATTCTTGTAACTTGTTATGCACTGATGGCTTATATCTTTGGCCTACTTTTTTATTTAATTTCAGAAATATATGCTTTGTCTCCCTGAAGAAGTGGGCTGCGTCCCGCAAAACGTGTCGGAGCAACTTGCAAAGAATTCATCTGATAAAGGTTATGTTATTTTGCTGTATGTGCCAATTTGACCAACTAACCCAGCATCAATCTGTGAAAGGTTATGTCCATTTGTTCTATGTGCCAGTAGGCTATTTCTTGCAGTAATGTTTGACAAATTTTTCCCAAGCATGCTATGCTTTTTAAACGAACATGTGTATATGTTATGTTCCACCATTTTGGTGGCTCATTTTTGACAATAAAGTGGTAATTATTATACAAATTTTGATTTTCTATTGTTTGGTATGGTACCTTCAAAACCCCATTAGTTTCATCCTTAATTTACCGTACAGCCAGTGGCTGGCTTCATGCAGTGAAGTGGAACAAAGATTTTTTTATTTTTTTATCTTTTGTTTTTATCTATGTTTTTTCGGTTTTGCCAGATACAGCATGCTGTAGGAAACATTGACATCCTTGAGCCTTCTCTTTACAGCAGTGAAGATAGACCCTTATTTGTGAGTAGACACTGAGAAATATGGGAATAGTGTTAACATTGTACTATTGTATGTCAGAGTTTGGAGGGTCCTTGTTATGGGCAGGATGGTGGTTTTGTCTGTATAATAAAAGGTTGAATGTGTTCATCTATTTTTTTTCTTTTTATTTATTTCAGATACTAACAGTGAGGAACAAAAGTATTTGAACACCCTGCAATTTTGCAAGTTCTCCCACATAGAAATCATGGAGGGGTCTGAAATTCACATTGTAGGGGCATCCCACTCTGAGAGACAGAATTTAAAAAAAAATTCAGGAAATCACATTGTATGATTTTTAAAAAATGTATTTGTCTTGCACTGCTGAACAGAAGTATTTGAACACCTAAGAAACAGCAAGAATTCTGGCTCTCAAAGACCTGTTACTGCGCCTTTAAAAAGTCCTCCTCTACTCCACTCATTAATCTAACTTAGTAGCACCTGTCTGAGCTCTTTAAAGACACCTGTCCACCCCACAGTGAGTCAGACGCCAACTACTACCATGGGCAAGACCAAAGAGCTGTCAAAAGACACCAGAGACAAAATTGTGGACCTCCACAAGGCTGGAAAGGGCTACGGGGCAATTGCCAAGCAGCTTGGTGAAAATAGATCAACTGTTGGAGCAATTGTTAGAAAATGGAAGAGGCTAAAGACGGCTGTCAGTCTCCCTCGGACTGGGGCTCCATGCAAGATCTCAACTCGTGGGGGATCACTGATAAGAAAGATGAGGAATCAGCCCAGAACTACAAGGGAGGAGCTGGTCAATGACATGAAGAGAGCTGGGACCACAGTTTCAAAGGTCACTGTCGGTAGAACACTACGCCGTCATGGTTTCCAATCATGCATTGCACGGAAGGTTCCCCTGATCAAGTGATCACATGTCCAGGCCCGTCTGAAGTTTTCCAGTGACCATCTGGATGATCCAGAGGAGGCATGGGAGAAAGTCATGTGGTCAGATGAGACCAAAGTAGAACTTTTTGGTCTAAGCATCACTCGTCGTGTTTGGAGGAAAAAGTCTCCCAGCTGTGGGCAGCAGTCTCCCTGATTTTGACCATCGGTGCTGCTTCTGCAGAGATTCCAGACTCTGATAGTTTGGTATAATGTGGAGCAAATTAGCAGTATGGTATTCTGAACAGCTATGCGGTGGCAGAGCTCACTCAGGAAGGTATTTCCATGCTGAAAGTTAGACACACTAACGCTTCATAATTTTAAGCAGTGGTGTCCTTTGATTAATATTACACTCAGCAGTCACTTTATTACCTGTTCAAATGCTTGGTAACACAAATTGATAATCAGCCAATCACATGGCAGCAACGCAATGCAATTAGGCATATAGATGTGGTGAAGACTTGCTGAAGTTCAAAGCGAGCATCAGAATGGGAAAGAAAGGGGATTTAAGTGACTTTGAACATGGCATGGTTGTTGATGCCAGATGGGCTGGTCTGAGTATTTCAAAAACTGTTGATCTACTGGGATTTTCATGCACAACTATCTCTAGGGTTTACAGAGAATGGTCTGAAAAAGAGAAAATAACTAGTGCTTGTCAGTTTTGTGGACGAAAATGCCTTGTTGGTGTCAGAGGTCAGAGAAGAATGGGCAGACTGGTTGCTGTGATATTCAGATGGTAGGGTCAGAATGGGCAGACTGGTTGCTGCGACATTCAGATGGTAGGGTCAGAATGAAGGGGTTAATTGCATAATTAATTGCATAATTAACCTGACCCAGTAACAATCGATTCAGGCTGCTGGCACATCGATCGGTACCCGTTAGCTGGAAAATCGTTATGCAGGGTGCAGCTGGGTGTGGCATTGTTACACACGACACATCGCGGTTGTAGATCGGTTAGCCCTTCGGTCACGAGTTTGGTGAGAAGGTCGGGGGTCTGACGCCGCGATCGTGACACTAAGCAGTAGCTTCATAGATATATAGCTATATGCTCAAGCAGTTGCAGATAGCCCCCAAATGCATGCAGGCTAGTGTCCCAGAGGATTAGGTTGTTAGATGAAAGCCCAACAAGCCACCCAGGGGTGCTTTGGAAAAAGTAATATCACTAGACAATATCATAAAACAAAATGTGGTAGTATATTTTCTGCTCAAAACCATAAGCCACTATAGAAACTAAATGTGAATGTTTCCTTCTACAGTCTTTTCAAACATAACTAAACAAAACAAGTGATTAATATCATTTGTTAGGCTGCGTACATTATATCACTGCTTAGTCGTGTAAAATAAACAAAATGCATAAAAGGTTAACAAATGTGCAGAAAGATAGTGGAATATTTCAGGAGGTTTAGTCATACCTGCTTGTGGGGAGGGATGAGGTATTGGCACCAGGGGCGGACTGACCATTTGGAAACTCGAGCACTGCCCGAGGGCCCGGGGTCAGTAGGGGGCCCCATGAAATGCCCCTGGTACCTTTTTCATAGGCTTTTTTGAGTTGGGCAAGGACACAGGGGCCCCATGATCCCTTATTGCCCGGGGGCCCCATGAGTTGTCAGTCCGCCCCTGGTTGGCACTGTATAGGAGAGATGACAGTTCTGTGGAGGGAAATATACTTTGTTTTCTTTGTTAATTTTTTTGTTATTTTTTTATTTATGCTTTTATTTTGGCATTGGCAGATGCTTCCTATGGCAGCGGCTGCTTTCCAATGCCTTTTGTTTAATAATAGCATTTTTAATAGCCCTATTAATGGCCAGAATTCAATAACAAGTTTTGTTCCCCATGGACTTAAAAGGGGTTTGCTGTAAAGTTTGCGAACTTCAAATTTTAAGCAACGGTTCATGAGCCAAACCTAGTCAGATTTGTTCATCTTACCTTTGGGTATATATCAAATATCCCTAAAAAGAAATTATGTTCAATCTTGTTAAAAACACATCTGCCATCCTAGCCATTTGACATCTGTATTAAATAATGTATGACTATAGAATTTGTTTTCTCCCTGAACCCAGTGTTGAAAAATGTTTGCAGCAATAAACAGCCAATGCTGAAGAAGTGCGTGCGCACGAAACGCGTCAGTTGGAGCCCAGGACGTCACGCCGCCGGCGCCACGTGGAGGCCCGGTGGCCATTTTAGACACTGGATGGTCAGTCATTCCTGTTTTTACCTGCAATGCGATTCATTGTATCCTTGCTATATCTGCTCCTATAAAAGTTCTTCATTTACATACTACACCATGAGTATTTCCCTTGGTCTCCTGTGAGGAGCACTTCACTTTGCAGAGCCCGGACGGGATCAATCAGCTCCAGAAAGGGGAAAGTGTGTTCACCATCAAGGTTTTCCTATTGCATCATTGGAAGGAGATCTCTGATTTTCCGGATCCCATCTTTACCACACAAGGGCGCTCCTTCTTCATTTGCCTCAGCTCCAGTCTATTCTCTGACCAGAAAGAGGGGAATCTTCAGGATTATTCATATATCGCGTATTTTAAATACGCTTCTGGTTAGTGCACATTTCTACCATATGCACTGGAAACGCAGAGAGCACCTTCATAGAACTTTATTGCACTTTATTGCCAATTTTCACATATAACACTGTTCAACAGGTAAAAAGTTTTGGGCATAAAATTAGCTAATCTTACATAATTTTGGGGTGCTGAAAACGAAAATGACCCTAAAAAATGTTGATTAGCTCTAGTTTCCATGATATATTCACCCATCTAATGACGTAAGCCATTCAAAATTATGATGCAACTTCAGCTGCATATTGCGCAATTGATACTGGTGACCAATAGAAAATTGCATGTATACTGAGATGATGCAATATTAGCCTTTAATTGCATCACTTCACTGCATAAAAGCTGCAGTATCTGTAGCTGATTGTAGTTCGTCTTTACATTTCGTTTTATGCTTATATAGGCTACTCAGTAATGCCTCGAACTTGTGTGAATAAAGCAGATAATTTCTGCTATATCTGCGGTGAAATAACTTTTATCTCACAAAAAAGGAGGATAACAGGAATGATTAAGAAAGCCTACAACTTGTATTTTGGCTGCAAGATAGGAGACCAGGACAAGAGCTGGGCACCACATATATGCTGCAAATCTTGTGGGACGGCACTGGAGCAATGGTTGAATGGAAAAAAAGGCATCTATGCCTTTCGCTGTGCCAATGATTTGGAGAGAGCCAACAGATCATGTTAGTAATTGTTACTTTTGTATGGTGCCTCCAATTGTAAAAGGGCTAAATAAGAAGAAAAAGTTATCTGTGCACTATCCAAATATTCCATCGGCAATACGTCCAGTTCCTCATGGAGAGGGGCTACCAATTCCTAAAGCACCAGAATCCTTCGTGGTTGAGTCAAGTGAGGAAGAACCTGAAGCGTGTAGTCACGTGCAGTTGTAAGAGATAGCCCTTTCCTCGAATACAAGAGAAAAGCCAAGAGAAGCAAAACCGACACAAACTGAAGACAAAACTAGTGAGAATCCTAAGTATTAAAATGATTCAACTTAGCTTATGGCTATAATTTTTCTTGGTAATCCTATGCAATATATTATGCCATTTAGGCTTTGTTATGTAGTCATATCACTTGCTTTATATTTGTGGAAAGACATCTATCTATATAATTATTGTGCATTATGTAGTCATTACGCCTATAGTAGAAAACTTTCCGTTTACAGAAAAACTAGAGCCAATTGACAAATTTCATTGTTATATTTGAACTCAGAATGTGAAATTCATTAAGAAATGGATCCTTTTGTTTCCAAAACTGGCAAAAAATAAAAATTTGTTGAACAGTGCAATTGCTATATTTACATATATTTGTATTGTTTGTATATTGGCATCATTGGTTTTTGTACTTGCATCATTGGTACCTTTTCATTTGGCAGTGCTGCATTTTACTTCTTTTATTATTTCACAAGGCTTTATTTGGTTTCCTTGAATGTTCAGCTGCTTCCTGAGAGCGCTCACTGTAACACTTTACTATTAAGCCAATGCATAGGCAATTGTCTAGAGAAGGTTTTCTTCACCACGTACTATATCTCTGTCATCTTAGACAAACATGTCCAAACTAATGTTAAAAGTTTTTATAAAATGATTTCATGTGTTAAAAGTTAATATATAGTCTTAAAAATAACATATTTCTTGTTTTCATTTCTACAAAAAACAAAATCCTCCTTGAAGTTTCCAAGAACTGCTATTGCATGTTCTTATATTTCACCTTCTGTCAGAAAGGCTCGGATAATCTGTTCCCCTAATTACGTTAATGGAGCAATCTTTTTTTCCCCTCTGACAAAATAATGGGCTGCATATACCTCTCTTGCTTACGAAGGGAACAATTGTGTCTTTCAGTGGTCATTTAGGGCTTTCTTTCACTATTGCCTGCAAGTGCTTTACAATGGGTGGCAGTTGGGTGCATGCCAGCTATCCCAATCAGTGAATTCTAAACCAGCTCTTAGAATCAGTATCTACTAAGCCATCATACTTTGGCTAAATAAACTCTACCTATTCAAGATATTATAGCTTGCATATCAATCTCACATGAATACTCCTTGGAGAAAATGACTCGAGGAAGATTACTGTGTTTAAAGTGAAGAATAAAATAGGAAGCTATGTTCGCTCCTGGGGAAACTGCAACAAATACGATATACAGGAATTTCTATTTTCATTATTTTATTTCCACTATGAATACAAATAAATTAAAACCCTATTTCTAAACTATTATTCTGACTGTTTGTGACCTGAAGGAAAATTGGTAAAAACCAAATAATATTTTGTTATTCTGAATCCCAGGAGCAGTCACCCAGCATAGCGGGCCTCTACTTGCGTGGGTACCAACTTTTTGTTTGAAATGTTACCGTATTTTTCGCCGTATAAGACGCACTTTTTCTTCCCCAAAACTGGGGGGGAAATGTCAGTGCGTCTTATGGAGCGAATATGGAGCGGCCGGTCCAGTATTTCCACCGCGGCCGTGTCAGAATACCGGGCCGGCCGCTCAGCTCTGCAGCGGGACCTTACCTGTTCCTCTATCCAGCAGCTCGCTGTCTTCCCGGCTTCTGTAGTGTGGGTACTGGGCATGACAGCTGGGTGCCAAGTGCGCATGCGCAAGAAGCGGTGCTTTTTGTGAATGGTAAGGCGGTACCTGGGACACATGACAGATCCCAGAAGCCGCCGGACCAATCACAAAGCGCAAGTGCTTCTCGCTCATGCGCACTGGGCACCCGGCTGTCATGCCGAGTGCCATTACAGAAGCCGGGAAGACAGCACGCGGCTGGATCGAGGAACAGGTAAGATCAAACAAAAACTCTGCGGAAGTAAGAGCGGGTACCTGTCAAGTTCAGGTACCCGCTCCCCACCTCCCCAAAGGTCAGCAGTCATCCCCTGTACTGTGTCCGCAGTCTCTGGTCATCCCCTGTACTGTCCGCAATCTCTGGTCATCCCTGTGCTGTCCGCAGTCTCTGGTCATCTCCTGTGCTGTCCGCAGTCTCTGGTCATCTCCTGTACTGTGTCTGCAGTCTCTGGTCATCCCCTGTACTGTGTCTGCAGTCTCCGGTCATCTCCTGTACTGTGTCCGCAGTCTCTGGTCATCTCCTGTACTGTCCGCAGTCTCTGGTCATCCCTGTGCTGTCCGCAGTCTCTGGTCATCCCTGTGCTGTCCGCAGTCTCTGGTCATCTCCTGTACTGTGTCTGCAGTCCATTAGTTCAGAATTTTTTTTTCCTGTTTTCTGCCTCTAAAACCTAGGTGCGTCTTATGGTCAGGTGCATCTTATACGGCGAAAAATACGGTACGTTAAATATGTTCTCCATGTTTCTCATATGGTGCACTGAGGTTGTCAGGGAAAAGGTCCAAGAAATTGATGTTTACTGACATGTTGCATCCCATAGCTTGATACAACTTCACTAGATCAAGAGTTCTCTGTTTCACAATAACATTTATGCTTAAAATTTTCCCAAACGTTTTGCAGATGCTTTAGAATGATTGCTATGCAGCTTTTTTAACTTCACTCAATGGGGTTGATTTACCAAAACTGAGTGCAAAATCTGGTGCTCTGAAACCAATCAGCTTCCAGGTTTTATTGTCAAAGTTTAATTGCTCAAGCTGACGTTAGATGCTGATTGGCTACCATGCACAGTTCCACTACATTTTGCACTCTCCAGTTTTAGTAAATCAACCCCAATGTGTCATTCTGTATTCAGACTCTTACTTGAGGATCTACAGAAATACCTTCCTTAATTTTAGTAATACAAATTCCGATTCACCTGGTCAAGCAGGGATTCAAGTTTGCATCATACTCACTAATTTTGAGCAAATTGACTGTGGGTAAAACCTGGTCTGTGCATGCTTCTGTGAGATGGGGAACCAGCTCTCATTGTTTGAACACTGTTTGTGTGCAGCAAATTATTGTGTGGAGTAAATTAATGTTTTGGCTGACATTCTCTGGTTTAGCCACAAGATGTCACTGTTTTTCTAACACAGGCTCAGACTACATAGATATTTGTATATTCATGAAGAAGTGGGGTTTTCACATGGAGTTGGGGTTTTAGTGAACAG